TCCTACTGCTTCAATTGCGTAGTGTGCCGTGAGAGGTTAACCAATGGAAGTTTGAGTTTAAGACGCCAAAAATGGTATCGAGCCGCACTTTGGATATTCAAAATTGTATCTTTGACGGGTAGACCATCCTTCAAGGCACTTTAACAATCCTTTGATTTCTTTCATTGGCAGAGATATCATTGGAGCAACATGCCGAACTAGAGTCTGCTTTGTTTGGTAATAAACTCATAAATTGAAGTAGGTCAAAATGATAATGCATTTATAACTACATCCTGCCTCCATTAAAGCTTCGACCCAGTCCTTAATCACAGATGAGGACTTGTGATTAGTGATGTGGAAATATGTAATTTCTAGAAGAAGGAATAGCATGATCGAAACGTAATTCCACGTCAAAATGCTTTGATTGATCACACGAGAGTTGTTTTTGCACCTAATCACCAACACCATCGACGTAGTGCATTTGTCTTCATACCGCTAGCCAACTTGCTATCTTTTCTTCAATCTTAGGCAAATTAACAGCTCTTAAAAATTGTTGAGCGTTAGCTGTACCTTCAGCGATGGAGAGACTTAGGGTCCGTAAGGTCATATTATCACTTGCTTTTTCCCAAACTCCATTTATTTTAGTTCTTAAAATGGAAGTGGTGCATTCCTCATCGAGTTGTCTGGAAAGTTACATGAGAAGCAAAGCTGTAAGTTATACTACTCTGTTTATGTGAGCACTTGATATCTGGCGGTTATCTTAAGATTCGTCTAGTCCTTGTACACATGGGCTGCCCTTTGAGCCAAGCTCAGACCTGATCCCTTTGCTTCTCCTGGAATACCTGTATTCAGCTCTACTCAACGTCGTTTGCTCCCCTATCGAACAAAATTTTGATGTTCATTTTAAGCATTTTCTACCACTAATATGACAAGCAATCGGCTGAGGCAAATGAGAAATGTAGTGAATCCGACGTGTTATAATGATGAGCTTAACACTTAAAATTCAAAATTCAGTGGTATAACACACGGTGCTTGTTATGTTATGCTTTGTAGAAAGGCGGGGAGCACCGTGTGTGGAGTGCGCGCACCTTTCTCTTTCCTCTTTTTTTTCTCTTCCCGTACTCGTTCTCCTTTCTGTTTGTACCTCTCAAAAATGCCTAATAAACCACCATCAAGTAGTTCCCTTTTCAAGAAAGCAAAGGTGAAAGGTTTGACAAGCGGGAAGCGAGACATTACAAGGAATTGTGTAGAATTGTTTTAGCGGCGCTTCAAAACTGGCAATAAAGTGCCTTTTTGGTGCAAGTTTTTTTCGTCAAATTGGGGTCTTTTTAAATTATGCTAATTTTTGAGGGGATAATAAACACATTTGCTGGATTCAAACACTAATCAACCATCTAAGTAGGTGTGCGAAGTGTAGCACTTACTAACCCAGGGTGGTGACTCAGGCATTTTAATGGCTGAATAGTCGTAATGATTGGATTGAATACTGCCAAATCTTCCTCACCAAACAAGAGTAGACTCTTCACTTTTGAGCTACCATGCAATCCTTTTTAAATTGGAGCCAATGGTTCGTGAAATGCTTATGTTCGGTGCACTAATGGGTTGAGCCACTGGTGGAAGTTCTCAGGCTTATAATACCGCGTTAGACATTTAACTTGCTAAATCTTCCCTTAAATTGGTGCGTTGTGCTGAAAGTCGACCAACATGGAAGGGTGGCAAAGTTATTATAGCGTTGCAAATTTTCGTTTGATGAGCTTTCCACCTCTTACAAAATCCTGCCCTTTTAGTAACTCAAAAGTTTGTAAAGGTTGTGAATTGCGATTTCTTGTGACTTTCTTGCAGAGGTCAACTTCTAAAGTGGCACCGTTAGTGTAGGATTTCTACCAATTGACACGAGAAATTGCCGCCTTCACTAAAGCGGTTAAAGGGGACAATTCTTTGACGAAACACTGAAGCCCTCAGAGTGACAGCATGCTCCGTGTCACCGTTTACGCCCCAATGACAGCCGTGTTTACTCCTCTGAGGACAGCATATTTTCCACTTATTGGATGGATTTTCATGGACGGTCCACAGGTCAAAGTACACAGCTTAGTGTATGAACACTTATGCATCCCCGAACTGCGCCACATGCACAAAAGTGGGATACATCACTATCATCCTCGGTCGAGGTTTGTGCACCTGGATCATTAGGGCCGACAAAATTCTTCAAATAAAACAACTTCTTACCTCATTTTGACTGCGGTAAACTCTTGAAGCTGATTTATTTTTAAATATATTCAACTAATAGTTTTTAATAAACTAAAGCTGATCTACCGGATTTCATGCAAACATTCACCACAATTAGAGGAATCGACTTGCTACAATTAAGGCATTTTATAATTTGTTCACTGCATCCCAAATCAAAATGATGCTTTCTGCCTGCGATCTGTGACTTCATTACCGAGGGCAGAGTACCAAACATGCATAAAAAATGAACCACTCCCAAAATTTTAGCCTTTAAGCGTTTAAGTAGTAGGATTTAGAACTTATGATTTTATCCAATCCACATTCTTGCTGTTACGGTTTTCAACACAAGGAACTGCGCTTCAGAACGGCAAAAAAAGGTAAGAAGTTAGTAAATTGTTGGATGTGGCAACTCGTCTTATGCACTTGTAGATTATGTGATCTGTCATTCACCTTTCTTCCACTTCACATACCAAATTCCATTACTTTTAGTGCTCCA